ACAAAGTACAAAATTTGTCATTCATGTGCTGAGCTCAGCAACTTTAAAGCTCGGTTATCAGGCTCAGAAGTGCTAGTACAAGATAAGGTACAATAGTGATCTTTATCAGAAATACTTATAAAAGCAACATGTGTTCAGAGCAGTTTGGGCTTGATTGAGAATTTGAAGACTCTTATGAAGCCAGTTAAAATTTTAAAAGATTAAAAGATAAACACAGATCAGTGATCTGGATAAAATGTATGTATCAAGTGGTCATTTGAGTTTACAGTATACAAAAAAACAGGGAAAAGGGATGAATCTAGTTAATACTGCAACTGACAGATTCTTTCTATTTTCCCTTAGTTTGATTTATCCAATATAATTTAAATTAAGAAGATAGTATTTGAGTACAGGAAATCCATACCAGTTTTTTATTGCAAGCTGTTCATCAGTGAAAGTAAAGATATGCCACACTCTTGATAGATTTCCTGAATGGCATGTGTATTTTGGAATTATTCTAGTATTTTAATATTGTCATATTTGGATATTGTATTATGTTTACATTTTATACATGTTGCAGTACAGAGAGATCAAATACACAGCTTCTCTGTGGACAGGCTACACAGGCATTATCTGTGAGGTTTTTCATAGCTGGGAATGTATCTAAGCAAAAACTCACCCTTTCGTCTAGTGAGCCATTCTTCAGTGGCCATGGAAAGTTGTTACAGAGCTTCAGAAAGGGCTCTAGGTGAACCCTGTAAGTCTCTGACAGTGCCAAAAATCACTCTTTTAGTTAGTTTTGAAAATATGCATCTCTGAAAAGACAGTGTAACGATACAGCGCTAAAAGCTGCTTGGTGTCTCCACCTTATGAACTTTATGTGGACTCCAACCTGTTTGACTGCAAATAGGGTTTTCCTGTAGCTGCTGTTGTTTTCTAACAGCCTCAAGTCTTGCCTCCTGTTAATTCTACAGGGTTATGCTACTGACAATGAGTATGATGAAGTGTGGGTTTTGTTTTGTATAGGAGCAGAATTGCTTCATCAGTTCTAATTAGAAGACTAATAAATTTTCCTTAAGTTTATGCAAGAACAAGCTTTAATATGTAGCACTTGTTCTTTATGCTAGAAAAGCTGCACTTCATTAGTCTTGCTCTCTTTGCTGCAAGTCAGGGTCAAGTTGGTGGAACTGACATTTACAAGCTCTCCACTCCACCAAGCACATTCCCTTTGTTTCCTTCCAGAGTGCTGTTCTGCTTTTAGTTTAAGGGAAGACACAGTTTGCATTTATGCCGTATTGGGGATTAGACAACATACAGCTTTCTCTTGTGAGTAGGTGAGCAACTAAAGATTACACAGATGATCTTCCTCACATGTAACAAGAACCTTTCAAAAGGATATGAATGGCTTCCTGTGGTTGAAAGAACATCTGGTTACCCAGGCAGGGTGTAATGAACTCTGCCACGGATGCTGTCAGCTGTCTCCATGCCTCAAGTGAAAACTTTGTAATAGACACATACTATAATTAATGCCTAAATTTCCAGTTTTGGGATTAAATTAGGGCTCAGTGCGGAAAGGTATCCAAAATATTTGAGATAGCACCACACCATAAATAGATAAAGCACTTAGAGTAAAATGAATATGTGTGACTGAATTGTAAGGAAGATATGAAAAAGGGTACAAAGACGCATTCGAGGTAACACAGCTTGAAATGTAAGAATGTTGCAGGGAAGCAGTATTTCCTCTCTTTGAAACACAGTCTGGAGCTTGTAAGCAGCAAGTCTACAGGTATGTTTGCATACCTGTAGAACAGCTTCTTCAAAGACTTCTCATTAAAGTAAGACTTTCAGTGGGTTGGCAGGATCGTGTACTTGACAAGGGTGGCTTCCAGGGCTTGTTACAGCTTGCAGAGGAAAAAATATATGTGACAGATTATATGAATGTGATATGACTATTTCAGAAGTTCTTCTGAAGCCCTTAGAAACAATTTCATCTCCTTTGTGGGACAGGATATTTACGAAATGATGTAAAAAAGGAAGTGACTAGAAAAATTTTCATGGTCTTCAGAATAAAAATGTGGGAGTGAGGAAGGGGGAAAAGCGAGAGTGGTATGCAGCTGATGTGAAATGAGGAAAAATACTTTCCCTTCTCTCCCACCTCCCCAGATTCACAGCACTGGATCCACTGAGCAAAATCAATCAGAAAAAACATTTTATCAGGGAGTATCATGTCTCTTTAGAGCCTGAGGATGATGACTGCCTTCTTGTAGCCCCTGGGCTGCCTGCAACAGACTGGGAGATACATTTGTGAGAAAACAGACCCTTAAACTCAACTTTCTTGTATTTTGAGATAATTAGTGTATGAAAAACTGGTTCCTTCTGTCTAGTGCCATATACAAAAGCAGTCTGGGATCAGGTGAGAAGCACCATGAGGTAAGATCTGCTGTTAGTGAGATACCACACTGATGCTTGACAGCATATACCCTATTTCCTGATGCACAGGAATGCCTGCACTCCCTCTCACAGCAAATATGCTTCTGTCTCTTAGCAATCTGTGCATCACTTACACTGCAGCTAACTGGAATGGTTTCAAATTAATGATCTTTTATAAATGAAGATGCAATTAGCACTGAATATGCAAAATGCTTAAAAGGTTGCTTATTGTGTCTACTGCTTGACATTAATGCTTAGAATACAGGCATATTCCTCCCATTTTTCTCTGTCCATTTTAAAACAGAGATCAAGCTTCGACTTGTGACACTCTTCACTGAGGTGAAGGGCAGGAAAGGAGGAAAATTTACTATGTCATAAAATGCAGATATCTTGCACCTTTTTCAGAACAGTTTAGCATGATTTTACATACAACTCAGCCAATACATGCCCATTTTTCTCTTTGTAGGAACGAATCTAAATTTTTCAAATTTTAGGATCTGCAGGGGTATGGTTTGTGAGTCACCAAAAAAAAACCCCATCTGCTCTGTGATTCTTAAAGTCTCTTGGAAGGCAGAAAGGAGGACAAAGACAATAAATACCATACACATGTATGCAAAGAAACTGTTCTTAAATGCTCATTTTGGCTTTTTTTAGGTCTGTAAGACTAGATTCCAAATTTTCTACTATCTCATGTTTTTATTCCTTACAGCGCCTTTTAATTTGAAAGCTTTGCTTTAAGGCAAGATCAAACAGTTAATGCCTCAGTATGGAAATAATCACTCTGTTGACAATTTAAAATGTTAAGGCAAAAGCCTGTTGAGACTGTATGGTCACACTACAATACTGTGGAGGAATCCTCCTCCTAACATAGTTTAATTTTTAAAGCAGCTGTAAAATGTATGTGCATACTCTCAACATCTTCTCAGATGCATTTATTCTATTAGTCCCACACAAAAGGTAGGGGAGGAGATCTTATTTAAAAAACAATACAAAGATGTAACTATTGAATCCAGGTTGCTACAGAAATAATTTAAGAAGGAAAACCACTGTTTCTCAACAATGAGATAATGCCATCGGGGATGGATGATTATCCATGAGATAATTTTGTTCCAGTGTGTTCTAAACTTCAGCTGATTTCCCTCACAAACTCGGCACCTTGGGGTATGAGAGCTTATTACAATTTATTCTCTAATATATATTCAAACCAAAACACTAGAGTATAAGCTATCATTTGAAAAAGGCTTTTTTTTCCCCCACCCAGTCCTCTGTGTTGGTAGGTTGCATATTTTCTAAGACAAAACTGAGAGGGTCTTTATAAAACAAGAACATTATAAAGTTCCCATCAGATTCCTCCTTCTGGGCACGACAACTTGCAGTATTGAAGTAGCCTTGATGCTACAAGTCACCCCTGGCTCTCCTTAAGACTTTATTTAACAATCAGGCCTGGGTCAGACTACTCCTTTGAGAGGTTAAGTGTGTTCTTGAAGGCTTAAGATGATGATTAGGTCTCTGTATCACAAAAAATATTTCAAAACATTTGGACATTCTTGAATCCTTACAGAAGTCCGGCATCGGTATTTTAAAATAGATAAATATTTAGAAGTTGTTTTCTCCAAGAAGAAAAAAGATTTACCATGTTGCAATTTCTTCACAATGATCTCAAAACTAATTGACGGAAGGGACAAGATTTTGCTGCCACAGACTAATGTGTTACAGCCTGGAAACTCTGTTTTGCAGAGCACTTTGCTGAGGGAACATAGAAATGCAGTCTGCCCTTTCTCTCAGACCTGGAGCTGTCCTCAATGGCTGCAAACAAGCCTCTTTGCTCTTTAACCCCCAACTGAACCATGGGTGTGAATCTCACAAACTGAAGCAGAACTCTCATCCTGCTTCAACTGGGTCAGCTTTTGCAAGGAGGGCAAAGTGAATACAGTTTTTCAAAATCCAGACACTGGGGGAGAGAAGGGCAGGGAAAGGTGCAACAGATTATGTAGTCTGTTTATTTGCAAATTCTGATGGACGGGTTTTGTCCCTTTGGCAGATGCTATTAGCTGCTGGAAAAAGGGAGCTGGAAAAAGGGAGACCTAGGGCAATTCTGCTATCCATGGCTTCAGCCATGACCTCTAAATGCAAGACATGAAACCAGTGTCCTAGCTGAGTTACTTTAAGCAAGCTGGGCCTAAGGCTGTTGTTCCTTCCACAAGAGTATTCTCACTGGTTAATGAGCTGTGGCATAACAGCTTGGTTATTTTATCAGTATCTGCTTTAGCAACAAGCAGAAAGTTGTTACCCTCTAGATGAGCGCCAGAAATAGCTCATTTAAAACAAAAAGACCCAGTACTATCACAAAAACAACAACAAAAAAAAGAAAATCCCTAATCCACCCCTCCAATAAAACCAAAACCAAACCAGAAAACTGAGAGCATGGAAATACTCTGAACAAAGATTGGCTTCATGAAATTCTGCCTGTCAAGTTTATGTGCACAATATCCTTTATTAGAAAATTCTTGTAGGCAGTGCTTGATAGATGATATGTAGGGAAGACAGACAACAACCTACTGCACTGTTTTCTCTTTCTTCTTTCTTACTTTTTTCTGTTTTGTAGTATTTAACAGCCTACGGTACAAGACTGAGTGTCATGGAGCATGGGCTACTGAAGACAAAATATTTTATCAGTAGAGGCAGCATAACTGTCAGTTCCTGCAGAATTTATTTTCTGCTATTCTTTGACTCTTGCTGTCCTTACAAAGCTATTTTTCACTGACTTAAACCTCTTCCATCCTGAAATACCAACACTGACTGAAACCCGAGATCACAGTACAAGCAGCTATTTTCTTTCCTATAAAGCAGTAAGCTTTGATGTAACTTAAATGGAAAAAAATCAGAGTATTTTTAGTAAAAGACTGAAAAAAGGCAGTTTTAGTTTCCTTTATCAACTATTTTTCTTATTTACTTTGAAGGTTGTTTCTGCACAGTTCTGAGAGAGATGGGTCTTTACAGAGGCAAACAAATCAATGTTTAGGGGCAGAGGAGGAGCTATGAAATTAGAGGATGCTGTTTGTGAAGACTTATATGAAACTTGCAGTTCAAGGCTATGTTATTACAAGGGAAAGGGAATACAAAAAGGGTTGTATTGGCTTATCTCTCTTCCATCCACAGAAATGTGTGTACATAAATAGCTATCTGTAGGCACTGGAAATAGTAAGCAGCTGAGTTATGACAGTGACCTGTTTCATCAAAAATTATAGTTAAACACAAAGTCTGGGAGAGGGTTTTAAGAGATTTACCATCTCAGAAAGATGATAGTAAGGTAGCTGAATCAATTTTATGATTTGGTATCTACAAGTTGAATTTATAACTGTACCAATATGTTTATTTCACATACCAGGCATGCTGAAATGCTCTGAAATTTTCGAGACTTGCCTCTTTTAGTATTCATGTTGCTCTCTTTATTGCGTGGTAATACAATTTGACAAGGAAAGTCCAAAAGCTGGTGTAACTGATGCTACAATAATGGTGCACTCTGCTGCATGCAGTGATGCTACAGTTATGGAATAAATCCACTTTAAATGCTCCAGGAAGACAAGCCCGTCGTCTTATCACCAGATGTGGTGTATTATTTACTAATATACCAGCATTTGGAAAAGTTCCATTGCCAGCTGCTTACGTAAAATGACCTGTATGGGAAAGAAACAGGTTCCCAGTTTGCCATAATAATTAAATTATTTGCTTTTAGTGTTTTGGAAACTAGTAGCATCCTTCCACTAAGGAATGTGGTGCATAGCTCACAAATTATTTCTCCTGTCCTCTCTCTAACACTGTTGAAATTGGGGGAGGGATGGAAGGAAAAGCTTAACTTTCTTCAACTGTTAATAAACTCTTGCAAGACAAGAAAAGCTGCAACCATATCCTAAAATAATATATTTCTCTGTTTATATTGTTGTTTCAAAATACATAAGGCAACCGATTAAAAACATTTTCTCCAAGAAATCTGATCTGAATAATGAACCCTATGTGACCACAGGGAACAGGTTTAAGTGCAAAGTGGTACATGCAGGCGATCCTTCAGAGGAGTGCTGAAAGTCCCATGAGGTGTGGTTCCTTTATTTTTGGTTTTTTGGTTGTGAAGCAATGTACAGTGCTACCAGACAGTAGATAGTCCCTCCTATTGTCAGAGCCATTGTGGTCCGATAGAGCATCCTATCTGGATATCCTCGCTTCAGGTGTATTGGCAGCCCATCTGATCTCTGTGGGAAGAGTTCAAGGAGAAAATAAGCAAAAGAGAAATTAACACCCATACTGAGGTCATTACAGAATAAGCTACCTTGGGTAAATTAAGCGACTTTCAAGAGGGAAACCTCCTGACAAATAGGCTCACACAACCAAGTGTATTATGTGTGTTTTAGCAAGACAAATGCAAAGGCAAGTTGATTTTGTTAGCCAAAGCTGTTAAGTGCAAGCAGAAAGAATGTATCTTGAAATATTTCTCAAGAAGACCTGGATGGGAAAAGTGTCACTAACAACAGAATGTGAAAAAATATGTTTAAAAAATTATTCACTAAGTCAGACTGACACATTCCAAATGGAAGTGGTATGTAAGAGAGAAAAGGGAACATTATATAAAGCACGTTCTTGATGCTTAAAAAAAAGCTTAACTAATTTGTTTTAAGAGAAGTCGTACATTTAGAAATTCCATAGCTAACAAACTGGCTTTGAAAACTTTACTGTGCTGCTCTTATACTGCACTACAAACAGCTTCAGCAATATTCAAATTATTATACACAAAACCATAATGATTTGCTTTGCTTCTCCACATCTGCTTTAAGGCATACACCTGGATTCCCAGAGAGAAAGTGCTTCCAATAGTCAAATAATACAACAACCAACTTCTGAAGTCAGCAAAAAGACAATGTTACTGCATTTATCCACTTTCTGTACTTATCTCCTATACAAGGCATATATACATGTATATACTTTGTAATGTAGTACAAGTACACAGGTTATACTGTATGTGACAGTTTCTTGACCAGACTTTACAGAATTTAGGTACTGTAGAATGGCAAAAGTATTCAGCTATGTTAAAATAAGGACACATACGTCCCACTCCCAGTTTTCTTTAAGTTACTCTCAAAGTTGTCATTACCTGAAAAACTTTCTGTAGGTCTGGCACCTTGTTTGTACCCAAGAAAGGTTCAGTTGCTGGTAAACCTGGAGCAGGTTTACTTGTCCCAAAAATCGGATCTGGGGATTCAGTGGGAGCTAATGATTTGAGTCCCTGCATAAATAAAGATTAAAATATCAAGGTATATCACTCTTGCAAACATACCAATTGTCACATTAGGCAGCCAGACTGCCAGTCATTACAAGGATACATTACAAAGACTATTTATCTGGTATGAAGACTTGTGACCAACACATTGCTGGCACACTGATATCTCAGTGGCAACTTGGGGTCAGAGCTTAGCAAGGAAAATAGCAGCCTCATTTCCAATTTCCTCAAAGCACGAATTCATAGCTGTTATTTTTCTGTGCTAGTACTTGGTCCAAATTACTGCTTCTGTTATGCACACAGACTATAACTCTCTCTGAGCAACAGGATTAGGATCAAGGATCCCTGATGCTAGGGTCAGAGTGAGGAATGAACTCTACCTCTTGAATGCTGCAAACGGTAGCCATAAATAACTAGTAACATAAATAAAAAATTTGGATGTATAGTTTGGTGATTAAAAAAAAAGGATCATTTGGGTCATACAGAAGCTGTAAGTGGTGCTCAAGGCTCTTCAGATACCCTGATATAGAGGGTATTTTGTGCAGGTGTAACTACATCCTGTAGTTCAGATGTTGCAGCTTCCTACACCCCAATGTACACCCCATGAGCAGCACAACTCAACTTCCCTTTGGTTCACAAGGCTGTACTCTACATCTGCCATACCCAGAAACTACATAATTCAGTTCTGTGATTAAGAGCACAAAGTCAGAGCCAACATGAGGTGACCTCCTTGTCTTTATTAGTGTAGTTAAATTTAACAGTTATGTCTGGACACGTAGCAGTGATGTTTTTCATTATGGTTCTCAAAACAGCTGCGATTTGTTTTTTTCCTAACTTGCCACAGAAATTAAAAGCAACGTACAGTTAGTTTAATGCAACGGGTTTTTATTACAAACAGAAGCATCCACGGGTCAAGTTAAGACTACACTGAAATTCTGGTTTCTGTTCAAAGGACTAGTTGATGCATTTTGTATTGAAGAGAACTGTCTGACAGTATTTGGAGCTGGAAGCAGACTGGCACTCATTCTTTTCTGCCAGCCATAGACCAGACGTGTTTTCCCTATGCAAATTCTCTGCTACAACAGGCATCTTCAGCAGAAAAACCAGGTTTCTCAGCCTCCCAAAACAGTCTATGGAATGGCCATCAGTGCTGTACCCTGAAGATGTGGGTTCAGCTTCCCACTCTTATAGTGCCTGACTGAATATTAGAATCCACTTGTGACCTTTCTGGTTATATTTTGAAAGGCAGCAGCAAACTGAATTTCTTGGCACCTTCAGTAACTAATACCTTCCTACTGAGCAGGCTTGCATGGAAGTTAAGCACTGAATTATTTAAGACCAGTGACCAGTTCTGGCCACAGTGCTATGAAGGAAGCATATAAGGAACTATTAGTCAGGGGAAGTTACTAACCATATATTCCAAGGCTAAGTAACAGCTACATCAAAGGCCTTGAAGAAAGCAATTTTGGAGAAGTATTTTTGTCTATAGGAACTTTAAGTACTTTATTAGTCTTTTTAGTGATTTGACAGAAAGAACTATAGAAACAGAACTACAAGCATCACAATACAAACATCATAAAGTCACTCCAGGACAGATGTTTATACTAAATGTGCAGGTGACTTCTTCTCCAAAGCTTTTCTTGCCTTCTTGTTTGTTAGTATCACAGCAAATGTGAAAACGCACATCTTTCCTGTGTCTTAAAGTTTCCCTTTTGCCTTCCTGAAAGCCCAACATTTTCAGGAGTAGTGCCATCTAATAACTTCAGTAGTTAGTAAATCAACAACTGTAAATTATTGCATACTTTTTCAGCCTTCAGAAATATATTCCTGTTCAGATAGAAGTTCTAAGATCCCCTTCTGCAGGAGCCATTGCAGAGTCAAACCTGACTCAAGTGACAAACACCATAGTGAAATCAAAAGGAACCAGTTCAGAAAACTCACATAATCATCAGTGTACTGGTATAAATTTCTTCCAAAGCAGCACAGCACCACTTAAGAACATCACATAGCAATTTAAATAAAAAGCATTGATATGGTTCACTGGCTTCAGGAAAGAGCACAACAAAACACATGCTGCAGAAGGGAGACGGTTCAGTTTGCTTAACCTAGACGCTGCATTAATTAGGGTTCCTCAGCAATGTAATATTTCACTTGAATCCCATCCATGAATTGTGAGTCGTGGCCAACCCCAACCAAGCTCAGTTAAATTAGTGCAAATGCATGGCTGTTCCAACTTGGTACCTGCCTGTGGTTATTTAGAGAAAGTGGCAAGTTCTTTGTCTCACACCCAGCTTACTAAGCTTAGCATGGCTGAGGACAAATCCACAGTGTAATGTAAAAGCTGAATTTCACTGCAGAAAATTTTCAATTAAGAGCTGACACACCTTAAATGACCCTTGGCCACTTTATTTAACATTACTAAAACCACGTGTTTATTTAATGACATCAGTGTCTCACTACACTCAGGATAGTACTGAGGAATTAATACCTCTACACATTTGACCCGTACTTCATTTAAAAAAAATAAAAATTAATCATTGATAACTCCTGATATTAAGATGTTAATCTTTTGTTTTTCATCACTACAACATGATTTTTTTCCAAGTCTTGGACAAAGTACAGCAGATGTAGTTATGCAGAAGAGTCAACATCAGCTGATTTTATCAGCATGCTAACAATGATTTTTTCAAATGCTGAAGTCCTCAATGAAAGGTCAAGACATGTAGCTAATGCAAAAGAGCAAACAGAATTCTCTGCCTACCCTTCTGTAGAGTGTCAGAGGTCTAAAGATCTTAGGACCCAAAGTATCTGTTCGTTTGCCATCAGGCTCAAAGTTAAAACAAATTTACACCTTGCTAGTATGAATTTGCAAGTTAGATTTACATTTTCCTGACAGCAAAAACAGTTAAGGATGTGGAGCATAATTTAATGGAGACACCACCACTCTTAAGTTTTTAAATGTAAGGTGACTGCTCAAACAGATCCGAGAATGTGAAAGGAGAGAAAACTGAGGTAAGGGCCAAAGGGGAATGGGGCAGTTACTCTCAGAATCAATATTTCAGAACATGTATTGAAACAACTTTTATCAACCTACTGAACTTAGACACTTCTAAACTAAGTAGCAGGTCCTTCACAGTAGAATACACCTCACTGCCTAAAGTTAAATATATTTGTTATGACTAACACAAGGCTCTTAGGTAAAACCACTTGAGTCTTTGTTTATACTGGAATGACGATCCAGTGACACTGCTTTTGTGTACACATTAAGTATTATCTAGGACATAAAAGGTTACATATTAAGATTCTAAACAAACTGTAAGCAATTCATATTGGCTAAAATCAAAATATCCGTGGCTCATGGGGGCTTTAAACAGCTACAAGCAAAATAAGTGTTATCAAGTGAAGATACTGTAGTACAAGTAAATTTCTGCTAGTATCATGTTCAGTAGAAGAACTAGGGAAAAGTTCATGTACTTGTCCTCATCTGACACCATTTGAAACTGGTCCCAGTGCTTGTACTTTAAACATAAGCTAACTCTTTGAATTCATACTTTTTATTGAATTTGTAATAGTTATGGCAGTCATTATCCTCCTAAATATGAGTAATTTTGAAACTATTTCCCTCCTCAACTAGCTAAGGAAGTTCCCATTTATTCAAACAAGGTAAATTGTTCAGACTATACAACTTTGTTAAATGCAAAATTAAGTCTTCTAAGCATGCTAAGTCTGAGATGGAAAGAACAACACAGATTTCAAGCTCAAGAAGTATAAGCTGTTAGTTATGTTACTGTCAGCAAAATAATTTTTGAAATCCATTTAGACTGGTATTTTGCAAGCCCACAGAAAGCTTAAACCTGCAGCAAAACAGTACTCTATTGGGAATCACCAGAACATAACAGCACATAACAAACAGAATTATTATACTGCATATTTTACTAAGGAGAATTTGAATGGCAGGATGTCTTCACTTTTCCAGAAACATCAAAATAAATAGAAGCACAAAAAGCAAACCACTTTACTTGATGAACTATAGTTTTACTAAATGGGGCAATGAAATCAATAGAAAAAAATCTACCTTGTTTTGGACTTAACACCTTAACGCTCATGGGATTACCCTTATAGTTCAATTGTTTTTTATTGAAAACATTTTTAATAGACTGATGCATCTAAATGTGTGACCTGAGAAATCAGTCAAGCTTAGAGAAAGAAAAAAAAAAAAGGGAGATTTAACAAAAAAGCTAGCCTAATAACATTGTAAAAAGGGACTGACAGTAACTTTTAAAAATTTAACTTCCACAAATGAGGTTCTTTACTGTTTAGGCTTGAAGCCCTTCCCCATTCCTCCCCTCCTTTGCATTCCACTGTATAAATGAAGTATCAATGTTTATTCTCTAAACATATCTTTGGTAGAGGTAAGAAGTGCCCCAACCACTGCAATAGCACTGGATATATTGGTACTGTATAAGTGCTATACATACTAGAATATTATTTATTTTGCTATCTTCAGTTTCTTGCACCCCTGACCCCCCATAGCTGTCCAGAAAATCTTCTAAAGTGATGGGGAAAGACAAGGACAAAAAACCTTATAGGGACAGAAACTGCAATATCAGAAACCCTCTGTTACCTCAATGTTTATTTAAGACCCTAGGGTAATTCAGGATGGAAGGCCCTCTAGTGCTCTTTAGTCCAGAGCAAGGTGAGGCCAGGTTGCTGTGGGTTTTGTCTGGCCTGCCCTTGAAAGCCTCTGAGGACAGAGTGCACACTCTCCCTCTCTGAGCTGCTGCTCCATTTCCTGACTCTTCCCACCAAGAACATGTCTTTCCTTCTGTCCAGCCTGAACCTCTCTTTCTTTCAGTTGGTGTCTCTTGCCTTCCCACCATGGACCACCGTGCAAAGCCTGGCTCCATTAATCTCAGCTGGCTGCTGACCTCTGCTGAACTTGCTCCAGTTCCCATTCCCACAGCAGAAGGCCCACAACTGGACACAGCACCTTGATGTGATCCAGTAAGTGTTGAGCAGGTAAGACTGTTGATATTCTCAATCAACAGCTCATAGGGTGATACAGCCAGGATACTGCCTAGCAGTATCTCCAGAGTTCCACCACAAAGCTACTGCCACCAGCCCCTCAGTTGCCACTCCATAACCATGCAGGGGCTCTGTGCCTTTTTTCCATCATGGAAGCCCACAGCGTTCCTGTCATATCATTCCCACACTCTGGATAGGTCTCTCTGAATGGCAACTCTACTTTCAAAGGTTTTCAGGCTACTCCCTTGGTGTCTTCCGTAAACTTCGAAAGAGTGCACTCTCTTGCCTGCTCCTGGGAACTGATAAAGTCCTGCAGTAACCTGCAGCATTCCACTTGTTAGGAGAATCTTGGCTGAGTACAAACTGTTAACCACTGTACTCAGTCTGATCATCAAGTTCTCTTAACTTCAAAAAAATTTAAAAGGTTTTGTAGCTGTCCTGGGCCCCTTGAAATAATCTGAGATTTTACTGCCTCATATGATGTTCTTACTTGCAAAAGATGACTGGATTTCCCAAGTAAAACTCTCACACTCAAGGATACCCAGGAAAGCAGAACTGTAAAGGAGGTTTCTAACAGAATTAACAGGCTAAGAATGAAATAGAGTTGTACATCACAATACACATTAGTCTACAAGAATGTAGTGATTTTAACTAATTTCAGTTACTTTTTATTAATGATTTTTTTGGGAAGGAGACCATAACTTTAATTTCATTTGTGTGCATGCACCTGTGTCTACCTTTTTTTTTTCTTAAGACTTGTGTTGCTTAATCAGCTGAATTGAGGCAGTTCTTTGAAAGGTTGATTTTTAAAAAACCATTCTTACAACTCTTAACCTCCAGTTATAAGGGATTTTAACTTTTTTTTTGTTTGTTTTTAACTGTAAGAATTTAATCTTTTCAAACTTTACTGAGAAAATTGAACACAGTGTAACAACCATGCTGCATTTGTCCCATGATAAAATCACATTACAAATCTTCCTAATATTACTTAGGAATTTATGTTGATGTACAGAAAAGCAAACAATTTCTGTGATTTATTTTCACCAATATGCAACTCTCCATGTCTTGAAACGACTGATGTACTTGGGATTCATTCTGCCCTCCCTCAGATTTGCTTTGCTCTTGAAGAATTAACCATGTACCTTCACTATGCAGTGTGAAAATTATAAGCTTATTTAATGCCATTGTTAACCTCTATACACTTATTTACTAAGTTGGCATCATACAGAGGTGAGTTTCCATTTTGCATTAAACAAACTTTATGGATTTGTATCCTCCCGGGAAAGGGTTTTAACGCTTTCAGTAATCGGGGATTCCTGTTGTACACACGGACCAGGGACACCAGAGATCAGTGCTGCTCCCATCTGCCAGCTGCAAGTTACAGTACAATGTCCAGTTCTGGGACCCTTATTTCAGAAAGGACATTGAGGTGCTGGAGTCTGTCCAGAGAAGGGCAGTGGAGCTGGGGAAGGGTCTGGGGCACAAGTCTTATGAGGATGGGGCTGTTTAGCCTGGAAAAAAGAGAGTCAAGGGTCACCTTGTCACTCTCCTCAATTAGTGGAAAGGGGGGTGTAGCCAGGTGGGAGTCAGTGTTTTCTCCCAAGTGCAGTTAAAAACAGGATGAGAGGAAACGGCCTCAAACTGCGCCAGGGGAGGTTTAGGTTGGACATCAGAAGGAATTTCTTCACAGAAAGGGAAATCAAATACTGGGATGCGCTGCCCGGGAGGGTGGTGGGGTCGCCGTCCCCGGAGGTTTTTAAGTAAAGACTGGACGTGGCACTCGCTGCCCTGGTCCAGTTGACACAGAGGTGGTCGGTCACAGGCCGGACTCGATGATCTCGAAAGTCTTTTCAACCTGATTCTGTGATTCGGTGATTTTAAAACCTCGCCGGGCACCGCTCTAGTGTGGAACAGTCCTCTGTGATGAAAGCGCGTTAATTTCTTGCTACAACCCCCAGTACGTCCCAAAGTTGTCTCAAGGGCTGCAGGGCAGAGCGCGCGTCCCGTCTCGCCCAAGGTCACGCGAGGGGCCGGATACGTTCGGTGCCCGTGGGGGCGGCCGATCCCTCCCCGGCTCAACAAACGCCCGCGACGCCGCAGCCCCCGCCCGGGTGCGGGGTGTTACCTGTGGAGCGTAGGCGGCGGCCGCCGTGGCCCCGACGAGGCGCTGTGTGAAGCCGCTGAACTTGTAGTACATGGTGGGCCGGGGCGGGCACCGGCTGCGACGGCTCGGCCGAAAGGACCCGCCCCGCCCCGCGCCGGCTATTTTGCGACGCCGTAACGCTCAAGGGCCCCACCGGCCAGGCAGCGACGCCTGCGCGAGACGGCGCGGAAAGAATGAGAACCAAAAAAAAAAAAAAAAAAAGTCCGAAAAAATACAGTAGCCTGCACCAAAGCAGTGCCGGCGCGCCTCTCCCAAGAACGCCCGCCGCTCGCGGAAAAACGAGATCGGTGACAATTTTCAGTCAGGCAGGAAAGATGAGCCCCCTCAGCGGCGGGGCGGCAGCGGCAGGGACGGTGGGGGCTGGACGCGAGCGCGCCGCGGGCGGAGAGGGGGGCGTGGTTCACGTCAGCCAATCGGCGCAGGCGGGAGGCGAGGCTCCGCCCACACCGGGGGCCCGGGCGGGGGCGGGAGCGCGCGGGACTCCGGCCCCACACGGGCGCGCTCGGCCCGGCCCGGCCCGGCCCGGGGCGCGGGCAGGAAAGGGCGCTGGGCTGCGTGGTGCTCAGCGGGGAGCCGCTGTGCAGCAGGCCGGTCATCACAGAATCACCTAGGTTGGGAAAGACCTCCGAGAGCATCGCGTCCAACCTAGGAGCGATCACTACCGTGTAACTAGACCAGGGCACTGAGTGCCGTGTCCAGGCTTTCCTTAAACACCTCCGAGGACGGTGGCTCCACCACCTTCCCGGGGAGACCATTTCAGTGCCCGGTCACTCTTTCTGTTACGAAACTCCACCCTGCACCTCCCCAGGCGCAGTTTGAGGTCGTTTTCTTTTATCCCGCAGCAGGTTGCCGGGGAGAGGCGGCCGGCCCCCACCGGGATACAGCCCCGGTCAGGGAGTTGTAGAGGAGAAGGTCGCCCCTGAGCCTCTCTCTTTTCTCCCTAAGCACCCCCAGCTCCCGTAGCTTCTCTCACAGGACTTCTGCTCCAGACCCTTCACCAGCTTGATTGCCTTTCGTTGGACACACTCCAGCATCTCCATGAATTGAAGGGCCCAGAACTGGACACAGGACTCGATGTGTGGCCTCACCACTGCAGGGGAAGAATCTCTTCCCTGGTCCTGCTGGTCACACTATTAATGATAAGGCACACTCGAGAGAGACACTGCGTATTTACGTCAGAGTTGCACAAGCCTCGGTCCTCGGCAGTGTTCCACAAATCAAGCACAGCAACTACCTTTTTACTTTGTATGTACTATAGCGAACAGAGGCGTTAATGCTAATTGGCTAGAAGTGACCTAGTTCTCTTATTTTTAGTGTTCTATTTGTCAATGATTTTCTTGTTTTCCATACTAATTACTCCACGTGCTGAGTTTTCTCTTCTCTAGGCTCTGTGGGTTTCTTGAGTTGATGGTCTGAGTCCTCTCCCAGGATTGCCTTTAACCCAGTCGGAGCCTATTCAGCACAATTGCCAAGTTGTCTTCCTTATCTTGGGAGTTCCATCAGATATCTTTGTGGCCTTTTAATTCTGCATTGTGTTCATTATCATTGGTACATCCTTCCTTCTACATCCTATACTTTTGTTAACCTCCCACTAGGTCTGAGACCACCGAATCATGTCAAGCCCTAACAAGGTTTAACAAGGCAATTCTACCAACAAGAAATTTGTCTTTCTAACCCATGGATGCCACTGAGACCTTGCTTGTTAGCTGCTATCTGCTTCACAAATTAACTCTCTTTTTTATTAGACTGGAACAAATAGAAAGATCAAACAGCATTCTTAAGAAAATTTTTACATATTTCATATTTTGTAACAGATACAACAGTGGTTTTGTTGTATCTGTTGCAAAAACTAAATTGCTGTGTCTCCACTCTAACAAGTTATTCATGTCTCTTATCAAGGGATACCCTTCTCTCCTGCCATCTTCCAAAAACATCTGAAATGTTTAATTCATTGCATAAAATGGGGCTTTTGCTAAACAAAGTCAGCATCCTGAACAGGGGACTGTGACATAATGCTGTTTCTGTTGGTGAATTTAGTGTTCCTGGGAAGTCAGCAGCCCCTCATCTGCAGTAGAACATGGCACAGCCTTGCCCTGCCCAGAGCTCATGGGCCTGAGGTATTCCTCAATCACTCCATGCCTGCTGTGGACCCCAGGCAGGTGCCAGCTGGCATGCTGTTAGTGACCTAGAGCATCCTGCTGTGACAAGTCTAACAGCATGATTTCATGGCTGTAGTTCATGCTATGAGTTGGCTGAGATTAAACATGCTGAGGCCTGGCTAAAAAGGATCATTTGTTGGTAATGTTTGATCATTAGCGCCCTCCACCATTTAGATCATTGCTCATTGAGAGTCCCACATGCAGTTTTGAAGATATGTTTGCTATAAAAATATCTGTGGTCATGCACTGAGTGAAAACTATTAAAATGTGCTTTGCTTATAAACTGGGGGAAGATCTATTCATAGGAGATATTTTAGAAAGAAAAATACCCATATAAAATGTGTGATATGATTTCCTTACCCACCCGTGTAACGCCTTCTACTTAGATTTTAGAATTTGACTTTGGTGGTGGGAAAAGGGAGCCTTGAGTTGTCTTGGATTTATCCCCTTTTGAACAGACATCCTATACAGGATAACCACTGCTCAGTACCAGGAGCTCCCTTGGGAGCCCAGCACATCCGTTTACTTGTGAGAGCAGGGCTATGAACCCTGAGACTTTGCTGCACCAGTTCTCACCTCTGCCTGTTGCCCTGAAGGCTGGTTTTCTTCTTGGGGAAATTTCAAATTCACAAATTCTGTGCTGCTCTCCTGTCAAAAGAACCAGCCGGGTGCTCCATACATAATACTCTGAGTGGATGTTCTGACTCTGTGTTAAGAACGTTAACTGGAGAGGATATGTTATTTGCTCAGTAAGTAGGACATTTATGGAAATATTTTGTAAATGTTACAGGAAGAATTGTGAAATCCCTGTAGCTTGCAAGACTAGGCAGTATTAATGAAATGGAAGATGTGCTGCATAATTTGTGGTTGAAAGGAATTTGCTGATCAGGATTCAATTTATTCCTAAGAAAAATAAACTAAAAGTAGTTTGATTATAAGTCTGTCTATAATGTAGCAGAAGACCTTGGAGGTGTGGTACACATATTCTTTTAGAGTAGAATGATATGACTCATAGATAGGTTTGTGTGGTAACAGCCCTGACCTTTTGAAATCATGGGATCTAGCTCATATTATAATTATTCTGGGTATATTTGTCTGCAGGTTCCTCCAGTTCAGTTCTTCCAGCATTTGCCAGAAGAAATAGGTGTGCCTGGTAAGCTCACTCACTAAAGTTGTGTTGTATTTTGCTCTTCTGCCTTTTTTTCCAGTGTGAATGCATGCTGCAGTACCACATGAGCACAGGTTTTGGGGCATGTCATGCCTTGAGATAACACCATTGTATAACTAGTTCTTGCTTCATTGTTGCTCGTGAATCAATTTCTTGCAAAATCATTCAGTATTGACTGAAAGCCAGAGAAACAAAAGGTTTGTGCGCTGGAGCTCCAAGGAAGCTGTGAAAAAGGTACAGATTTATCCTCTTTTTCACTTAATCAATTTAAGTCTTGATGTTTAAAAGTAAGCTGTGAAACTTTGCTGCTGCAAGCTGTTGGAACAAAACCTAGGTGTGATCTCTCTCTTGTTTTAGCTCACAAAATTGAAGATGGGGAATTGTTTACCTTGCAAGAGAGATGCATGGGAGGATGACCGGAATAAAATTACAGTTTCAAATGGAAGTTCTGCTGTTTGTGTACCACAGGAGCATGAGAACATTCCATGGCAAAAAAAAAAAAAACCAAAAGCAACATCATAGCATAAAGTCTTTCCTTTAAAGGAAGAAACTTGGTTTTGTCTTAGACTTTTGGTTCTTCAGTTGCTTTAGTCTCTAGACTTTTGCCAAGACTGCTTTGCTTATCAGGCTTGCTGACACAGTGGATAATCAGTCTGTAAAACTTGCTGCCATAGGAAGTTCCTGGGGCAAAATGAGGCCACTCACCCTAGAAGGGTTCAAAGAAAGATAGGACATTTTGGAAAACCATAAAACTTTGTACAGTTAACATAAACAAAATGTCCTGGAAGGAAAAGACTCCCTGCTTTGTACTTTAACCTGAGGTCTCACTTTTAGACACTGAGACAAACAATTTATAGGGACTGGCAGTCGGACATCTGGTCTGTTAGGGACAAGCATGGTATTGGAGGCAGCTAAGGAAAATAGGATCCTGTAGTTTATTCCAATTTTTTACAGACTTTTAAGATTACTGGTTTCATATGTGCAATTCCTTATCATAGCTTGTTCCTGGAATAGCACTAAAATTATATTTCAAGATGGGTAGATCTCTGGGAGAGAATGAAGGAAGCAGAGTACCTTGAACTTATTCTGCTTTTTTTGTTGTTATTATTGTTGTGATTATTGTATTTATTTTCTATTTGAGGATAAAATAAATAAAGAAACAAGACCATAATCAGTTGCTTAATGAACAAAACCTTCATATGCTGATCATTATTTCAGCACAGATGTCTGTAACTCAAATTCTGTCAATCTGCCCATGCAACTCTGTTCTTGAATTGCTGAGAACAACTGTGTGGGTGGATGTAGAACATAAAATTGCCATGTGCACTTATGTTTTGTTTATGCAGTACTCATTTTTAAGAGTACTAGATTGGATTTGCTTAATATTTGCTTTGTGTGTGTGTATACATAATATTTACAAACCCCCAAACTAGGAGATGATGACCAAGATAAACTCTATTAATGCAAGATGCTGATATTGTGAACATGTTTCATTTGATTTATCAACTGAAAGAAATAAATTAAATCTATACACAGACTAAGGTGGTAGTTACCTCTAAAACTTGTACCTCAATTTATTGCTGCTTTATCACCCATATGTACTCCATACAGCAGAGATGACTTAGAAATAGGCTTCTACTGACAACTAAGAGATTACTCTTTCATAGATCTGTCATTACTGAAAATTAATAAAAATTGTAGAGTATTTTAAAATAGTAATGGACCTAAAATATTAACTGAAATTTAACCTAAGTTTTTACTTTCTCATAACAGAATTCTTGCTTTTTTTTTTTTTTTTAAGAAGATGGGATTAGGGAGGCAGCCATTTATATCTTCTCTATA